GCGTGGAAGATCGTATACGTATGAATTTGCAATCATTGTTTACCTTCCTCCTACTGATTCAACAATACTTTGAAGATACAATTTGTCCCTCTCGTGTCTTCAAAAGCCAAATCAACAAACTTTTCTAATACCTGATTTAGTTGGGGTTTTTTTTTTTGCCTTACGCAGTAACTGTTGTAATGGTGAAACTGGTATTTTGAAACTTTCTCGTGCAATATTGGACATAAGCTTTTATTTGTAATCTGAAGCAACATATTTCGAAATAAGGAGCTGTAGGTGAAATCGTTGTAATTCATGTCCTTGATATTATCGTCTCCAAAAATAGTGAGTGACTGGACCAATAGAAGCATCACTTAATGTAACGAATTCTAAGATTCCTTGAAACTAGTTATCATTAAATCTAAAAGCTAATATTGGTCAGCTGCAATCACAACACTTGTGTATAGATGAGCCATTTCAGAAGGAATAATCTTACGTAAATATTCCCTCAAATCATCTCACATCCATTCAGCAGGACTCGAAGTAAGAAACTAAGTAGCTGGATGATAATGCAGTCATTGCATTTAGGTATTGCATTAAGTATTGTATGCATTGTAAAAACCTTAGTCACTCCAAATATCCGTGCATACACTGTAACACATCTGACCTAGGAAAGAAAAACCATACATCACATTTACATAAAGCAATATTTCACGACTGAACATGAGGTTGTTCAGCAAAAATATAAGTCAATCTCTGTTCTATTGCATGGTATGCCATTATTGCATGCAGCAAATATTTATCACAATTATTTCAGCCAGGATTAATAAACTTCACAAGCATCTGCTTGATGGTTTGTGCTACTCACTTCCCAGAATGAAGGTTACATGGTTAAGTGCACATCATCACTGCACCCAACAATTTCCACAAGTTAAAGAATAACTGACTATTGAAATTATCTCTTGATTCATGTGAATTTCTTCAGGTGCTCCAAATTGGATTATCCAGCGCTGCACTAAACACATTAGTTACAGACTGTTCTGAATACGCCTCAGCCCAATTAGTGAAGTAATCAAGAATGACTATTTTGATGGCCAACATTCCTTGAAATATGCAAACGCTAAGGAATGTCCTGCCTAAGAGCTGTAACACAGATTGAGAACCACCTCTTGATGGCTAATAACAGTGGCACAACATGCCTATCTACATTCGTAGCTGCTCATATAAGCTATGTGCATTCACCCAATTTTATGAATCTGTGCTGTGATCTTGGAGAAGTTGGTCACAAAGTATTAGTAACATGGTGCAAAAAAAGGAAACTGGATAATTCTCTTTTCTGTTTGGACTGGGGCCAGTCTTGAACCTCTGTGATTTTTGCAGGCTCAGTAGAAACTCAGTCTTTTCCCACATTATCCCATCTGTGTTTGCTTCAACACATACTTCACTGGTTTCAACTTTAAACCTGTGATTCTTAACTGCTAAAGTAAAATGCACAGATTATTGGTAGCAGACTTGAATGTGCAACCAAACACTAATACATTGTTGACATAGACCAGGCATCCTTCCCATTGAACATCTTTAGTATAAGCAGTACCAACCTCTTAAAAGTAGTGTGAGCATTACACAGACCAAATGAAAAGATGTATAGCTTTCATAAACCAGATCAAGTGCTGAAACCAGTTTAGGGTCTGCTCTTGTCATCTTGGAGTCTATATCTAAAGCGTTCAGCAATTGATCCACTTTTCCTATCTATGGGAGAGGGAAGCTTCAATGCTAGCTACTGCTTTAACCTGTCTGTAGCCTACGCAAAATCTTGGAATGCTCTACTTCGTTTTTGACAATCACTACTGATGTTAACTACACCTCTAGTGATTCAAGGAAGCATTTGCTGTTTAATCGAGCATGCATTGCCTGTATCTATGAGATAGCAAACAATTTTTCTTCGACCCAGTCAACTATCTTAACCAACAGGTCAGTCAACTTTAGCTACTGTTGAATCAAGATTGTTTGCAAAATCCTCAATTAATGATCTCAAATATATCATCAGCTGAGTAATTGTTTTCATACACATCACAAAAAACATTAATGATACAACTAGTTTGAGGTTACCTAGAGTGTGCTTGACATTTTGATGAGCATGCCTTCTTGAAGCTGAATACTGAATAATTACAGGACAACTCTGGAACTTCTTACAATTTCCAACAAATCATTTTCCAAATAAATGCTTACTATTTTCTATGAGAAAACAATGCATTTCATGCAATGGTTCTCTAAGCACATTATATGACAGCAGCATACTAGACTTTATCCATGGTAAACCATGAAATGCCACTTGTGTACATGAAGATAGTGTGACTCTATTTGCAATGTACAATCATGTAATCCAGTACTTCTGGGTCAATCCTGGTCAAGAATAATTTTCCCACAGAAATGCTGCTCACCTGCTGCACAGGCAAAATTGATTGATAATTTCTGCAGCATGTTCTGAGGATGCCAATGATTGAAGCTAGGTTAGTAATAAGTACCTTCTTTCTGTAGTTGACATTACTTAGACATAGTCTGAAATGTGCCTTTACAGCCATATCTTATCTACCATCATTCACCAGAATGAAGTCAGTGTTAACAGGCTGGAGTGGTGGGTTCTCTTGGCATGATTGATACATGGTGAGATCAAACAGTGTCCTGTCATCTGATATATCAACTAGGAACTCAATATCTTACCCTCCTACTACCTTTATAAGCACATACCAAGTGCCACTTAACCATGAAAAGCTTATTTGATCATCACACCCTTTGGCAAAAGCTATATGCTGCACCAACACAAGACAGTGACTAGAATCAACTTGGGCTTTCATCAGTTTTCCACAACGTAAGTAAACGTTGTAGCTGCTGCTATTTCTCTTGCATTTGCTGTGCAGTTGGTCACAAATGGCTACATTACCTATCTTGCTCCATGGCAAATCACGGTCATTCACCTAGAAGTGACCCACCTGGCTGCACCCAAAGCAAATGCTTTAGTCCTATCGTCCAAAGTGATATCCAGAACAAAGATATCATTAGCATCTGCTTTCATACAAACATTAATGGGATGAGCCTTTCAATTTAATAGGTGCTGTAGGGTTGTGTCACAATGTCAGTGTATACTACCTCTGGCTTTCACTCAGCAAAGCTTGACATGAGTTATTCCCTGCAAGGACTTCAACATATGATAAAGGGGCTCATATGAATTCGTGAAGTCAAAAGAGAGGAATATTCCCTCAGCTGCTGTGGTTATGTTTTGTATGGACCACCATACTCAACCAAATGCCTTTTATGCAACTGGTGCACCGAAATATGCACCAAAGTTCTTGGAAAGATTCCTCTTTTGTGCCCAGAACTTGGCCCAATGGATAGTTTTGTTCTCCGCTGGGTTAAATTATCAGTGCAACTCATCTAACTGTATTCCAGTCCCATAGCTGTTCCTCGCCCAACTGCTTGATATCTTCGAGGCCTGGATCGTCCAAAATTAGGATCAGACATTGCATTTCTTGTTCCCAAAACCAGCCATTATAGGCGTCGCCCTGCCTTAAACATTTCAAGATTTTCAACAAGTCATTACTTGCTTCACCCTTAAATGACAGGCGCGTGAGCTGCTTTGCCTCTTTAACAGTTACCTATATGTTCACCATGAATCTTTCACCTACTGAATCTCGGTCAACACCAGATTGAGATATCTTAAATGTTTGAGAAGTGATGGGGTTGGTTGGTGCAGGGACACCTACACTTAAGTGAGAGTTAGACCCCCTGCTCGTAGATCATATAACAGAAAGTTACCAGATAGCCTGTCCAGAGATTCTACATGATCTTAGGCTTCTCTTCAACCCATGGTCACCCTGACAATATACCTTGCATCATAGAAAGGCTCACCCATTTTTCCACCAAAAAGCACCTTCACAATTCTCTACCCATTGTCTCACCTGCTGGCAAAACAGATCCATGTGATAGACCAGACGCACTTCCAGTCTCTTTCTACCAAACATAAATAGCATCAACCAGAACTGAAGTTGGACTACTGTGGCCAGCAAATGACTGTGAGTTCTACAGAAACTACCCCATCCAATCTCAGACTCACCAGACTGTGCACCACTGCAACAATCCTCAGTCACCCATGCTTCCTGTACACTGAAGTTAGAAATCAGGGAAAATTCTGACCAGCTGTTCTAAGTAAAGCAGGGTGTGTCTTCAGCAAAAATGATCATATAGACCTTATCTTAGACCCCACTACTGTCACTTACACCATTACTCCTCAGCATCTAATTATTTTTGCTGGTCATAAATCCTTTGACCCATGGAAATTGCACTTCAAGTGAGAAGTTTCAAATCAATAACTCAACAGATTAGAAGAGCACAGGTTAATATACTCGTTTAAAGAAAACATACACTGCAAAAGAGAAATCCTGCTATCATGATGGAATAATGGAGGATCACCAAAAGTGAATTGCAAAGAAAAAACTAAATTATCTTAACCTCTACTGAGATTGGAGCAAAGAAAGTGTTTGGACATAAATTAAGTACAGTGAAACAATTTTCATTAAAATACTCAAATAAAATCAAAATATGGTACCTTACTGAAGAGAGATATGATATTAAATTGTAATCTTGTATCATATTATGTGCTTAAGGAAAGTGTTAAGTTAAACTGAGTTGTTCCAGACTGAGATAATATGGCATTATATTCTAATAATCACAACATCATTCTTCTTAGGAGAAAGGTACTGAAATATGGTCACTCTCGCTTCAAAATAAGAGATTGGGCATCACGTGACTTGCCTATGGAAAAGTTCATTGTCGATTGTTATAAAGTGTGTTTGACATTACAGCAATATTTCTCACGAGAAAGTACATAAAACGTCACAGTTGACTGACGTAGTTCCGTAAGTAACTAGGATGAAAGGAACTTGTTGGTTCTCTTAACCATTTTTATATGAGAAAGAAAATATTATATGCCTGCATACCACAATTGCTATTTTAGAAGTTTAGTTAAGATCAATAATTCAAAAGCCTCCATAAAGTATGCAATAAACTCCACAAGCAGTAGCAACTCATAATCACACTAGGATAAGGAAATATACAGAATAAATGGATAAATAAAAATGTATTGAATGTAACGGTAAAGTTGTTACTTACTTACAAAAAGCCAGAAAACACCAGTCACAGCTACAACTCCCAAAAAGAGAAAATGATTATGTGAAGAATTTTATTGTAAAAGACAAATCCTGCTATCATGATGGAATAATGGAGAATCGCCAAAAATTAATTGCAAAGAAAAACTGAATTATCTTAACCTCGACTAAATTTGGAGCAAAGAAAGTAGTTATTTACTTACAAACAAATTGCCCCCCAGTGGCACAGCGGTATGTTTGCGGACGTACAATGCTAGAAACCAGGTTTCGATACTCGTGATGTGCAGAGCACAGATAGCCCTTTGTGTAGCTTTGTGCTTAACTTCAAACAACAACTTATAAAAAACAACAACAAGAAAACACCAGTTACAGCTACAAATCCCGAAAAGAGAAAATCAATATTTGAAGAATGTTATTGTGAAAGCTTAGGAGTGGGTTTTCTCTTGCCTTCTGATGATAGTAGTAGCTCTTGGGTGGCAAAAATGTCTGGTTTATTATATACAAACGTTATCTCTTCAGTTTTCAGTTCTTTACACTAAAACTAAATGCATATGGATTCCAATATTAACATTAACTGTTTGTTTGCTTTGAATTTCGCGCAAAGCTACACGAGGGCTATCTGTGGAGTGTTAATTTTAGGTGAGTAACAATTCAATTTTATTTCCATTTAATCAAAATGCAACATAAAATGCACATTGGTTTAATAAATATTAGTTAATGAAATTATGTAACAAATAGAAGAGGTTAAATAAGAGTAACTCTTTGACCCAGGAAGCCTTAGGCTCTGGACAGTTGCCCAACATGCCCATGCAGTAATCCATTAATGCATTCATGCTTGTTAAAAGTTAATTTTTGATTATACTCACTTTTCTGTTGATATTGACTCCATAAAACAGAACCCCTGTTTTACATAAAATATATTTTCTATGAAGTAAAATTGCAGACAACCATTACAGGAAAAGTTTGTTTTATAATATTCGTGGAAATCTGCACAAAAGCCTACTTGCAAGCCATTATCCTAATTTTCAACCAATAGACTTGAGAGAAGGCAATAGTCAACAGTACACATTGCCATCTCTTGGGCTACTCTTACCTCACCGAATCTTGGTAGTTGGCTTTCACTCTTATTGTGTTCCCACTGCCCAAAAGTATGGAGCACAGTTTTGAGGCAATGGGCCACTAATCATAAACCATTAAATTCATATTTTGGCCAAGTTAACCACCAAACCACACCAGGTCTTACAACAAAAGACAAAACTTTTTATTTTAAAAGGATCTAATAAATCTAGGGTAGGCCTGTGATACAGCTCTGAATTTTGTATCTAGCAAGTCAAGTTTGAATCCATGGAATACCACAAAATAATATCCGCACTTTAAGCTGTGAGTGCTTTATAAAACTGACATTAATCCTTTCGTGTGAGTGGTGAATGATAGAGTTATGATAAATGTTCAGTGGTTCAAATTGAGGAATTAAAGCATGTAGCTTTAGTAGCTTTGCCATATACAAGATACAAATACATAAATTTAAAAAATAACTACAAAAATACGTAAAAACAAATTCCTATTCATAGACTATCTTATTACAAGCAAAGTCGTGAAAATAATATAATTAATATTTGGATAGCTCAAATCAAAAGCTCGTTTTCCAAGATATCGAAGTAATTCTTATCGAAAAATTCTTCTTAAAAACTAACGTAATGTACATTTCAAGAAGAAACAACACTTCAAAATGTATTTGTTTTTGTTTTTACATTGTTACCTCTGAACATTTGGAAGCTTGATGCATTTGTCATATTGAGGCCAATGTACATCACAGAGGTTCCAATCATATCACACATGGCAGGAGGTAAAAATATCAGCGGATTGAAATTCCTATTTCCATCGATGCTCGCTGGTAACTTCACGTTGACACCTCCAGGTAAGCGACGTCTATTGTAGTATATGAGAAGTAATTTAAAAGCTGCCAAACATGAAAATTCGCCGAGGAACATTGCCGTTGCCTAGAAAGAATAAAATTATTTTCACATTATAAAAAAGTTGAGAGGGCACGATTAAGCAACTTCCAATACCGTGATATTTCAAATCAATATTTCTTTACATTAGTTTTAAACACTGGATGTGAAAATGGCTCAGTGGTTATAGTGCTTAACTCTACTGTGGAAGTCTTGCTTACAATTCCCAGTCGAGGTGGGATTTTATGTTGTTTTGTTTTTATAAATGATCATATTTATAACAAACTCTTTCAATACCATTATGGATTAAATCAGGGATTTAAGATATCGGTTAACTTTCGAATTCAAAGATGCCATGTTTATAGCATCAAGCCTTGTTAGCTTTTCATTTCAATTGAACATTTCTAACAGCATCTATGAAACAAATTCTAAATAAAACTAAAAATAATTCAAAAATAATTCAGTAAGTAAAGTGCGTGAATCGTTCATTGCATGTGTTAAAGTGACTGTGGAAATTAAGTGTATTGTAAAGTTGAATTGAGAAAGAATAAACTAGTTTTATTTAAGAAAAGACTAGTATCGCTGAAGTTTTTCGGAAAGAATTTCTACGGAAAATTAACAAACGAACACAGACGAAACAAATTGGATGTCAGAGAGTGGGACGGAAAAGAAAAAAAGATGGGAAATGAGAAGTGCCAAATCCAACTATGACTTAGCAGATTTGATGGCAGCAATACAACAACAACAAAAGAAACAAGAAGAACGAGAAAATAAACAAGAAAAGAGACTACAGCAGTGGTTGGAGGAAAAAGAAAAGAAACGAGGAAAACGAGAAAATAAACAAGAAAAAAGACTACTGCAGTGGTTGTTGGAAAAAGAAAAGAAACAAGAAGAGAGATTACAGCAATGGCAAGAAAACCTGCAATAGTGGCAGCTCGAACAGCAAAATAAACAAGAAGAGAGATTACAGCAGTTGTTGAAGGAAAAGAAAGGAAACAAGAAGAACGAGAAAATAAACAAGAAGAGAGACTACAGCACTGGTTGGAGGAAAAAAGAAAATGAACAAGAAAAGAGACTACAGCAGTGGTTGAAGAAGAAAGAAAATAAATAAGAAGAGAGATTACAGCAGTGGCAACTAGAACAAGAAAGGAAACAGGAAGAAAGTATCCAATAGTTGCAGCAAAGTCAGCAGCAACTACAGGAAAATCAACAACAGTAGCAAAAAAGTACAAATGGAAAA